CGTCTATTAAATAAAAGGGTACTTTCTTCTGCTGTTTTGCACACATCCTACACTTACCTATGTCTAATGGGGCATTACTTTACATTCAAAATCCTGTAATAAAATCATATGCATCATGATTATACCATGGAATTTGTTACTGTAACCACCAAAACATTTCCCTTTAGGTCGTTTGCTTGCTTCATGAGTACATGCAATTTGATTACGATTCGCTGAGCTGTGAACCCCATACAAATTTTCAAAAAAATGTTGTTGTTGCAAATCAACTAATCATTTAGGTATCCAGACCTTTTCAGTGGCAATTGTATAATTTAATCTAGTGAGACTGGTTGTGGAATACAAAAAACATCTAAATGATTTAACGACCTTGGTGGGGTTTAAACCTTTTGGAGGTTAAAACCCTTTATCAAATTATTAAGGAATTGTGTTTGGTGGAGTGAGTGAATACAAGAGAGTGATTTAATCAAAGGTCTTGTGACCTGTAGTATAAACATGGCCTATGCTCATCCACTCATATTTTTCTTGTAGCATTCCTGGGGGTGTTTCACAAAGATTCTAAGTCGAACTTAACTCTAAGTTGGACTTAAATATTATTGTGAGCCATTTGTAGTCTTAAAATGAAATATGTTCAAAAGCAAAAATTCAAGTATTTTAGACTTTACATAAATTCCACATCAAAAACATGAAATCTCCCATGATAATAGAAAATATAAATGATTTAAATCAACATTTTATGCCTTCAAAAATAACTTTTACTAAATATTTTCAAGGATGCTAACGGCTTTCCATAATTGTTAATTCCAACTTAGAGATAAGTTCAACTTAGGATCTTTGTGAAACACCCCCCTGGTGCAAGATGATACTTTTCATTTTATATCTTCTTCAGATGGGGACAGAAAGAATTCATTTTTCACCAAAGTTTGACAGAAAATGCACATTTGAAGAGGAGAAATATTAGGGTATATTGCATTTAATTTCAGTATAAAAATGGATCAAGAAAACCTTTGATTTTACTTGAGTCAAACTCCCCAAAATATGCAAACTTTTGAAAGGAGAGACACTTGGAGTATGTTTCTTTTTACATTATCATGATGTGATGATAAAGAGCCCTGTTGCATTTGACTAGTACTCACCCCCCCCCCCCCCTCGCAAAAAATGATGAAACTTTGGAAAGGAGAGATATACTATAATTAAGTGTTGACTGCCCATTGCCATTTTTAGAAACATAGAATTCTCAAGAGATGAGGGGTGTGTTTTGGACACCATTCAGTGTATCTAGCCTCTCAGAGTTTATCACAGGGAAAAGTTGGCAGCAAGGATCATAATTGATGTGTTCGGATCATCGGGCTTTATGCAGTGATTTAGTAGGGTTGTAAACATATGCTCAAGCCATCTAAACAGGTACCAATTATTTTTATGACCTTACCAGCCAATGGTTTACGAGATTTAGACACGGAGTTGAGTGATTTGAATTTCTGAAATGCAAAGCTTTGAAAGAAAGTTACATTGTATGCTCCGAGCAAGAAGGCATTATCCAACACAGGGTAAACAGAGTTACGCCCATCTGGCTCTCAACAGATGTAAATGAACTTTGTTTGTTCTGGTATTGTGCAAGTATTCAGGTATTCTCCACAGTGGACAAATTAAGAATACATTGGTTTAGTTTACTGATTGTACTTGCAATATCAAACTTTTGGAAATGTTTCAATGATAAATGTAAACGTTGTTGGTTATTTTTTTGTTTGTTACACGGCTTTTATACTTTATAATATTTTGTTAATGAAACAACAGTTGCAAAGAGTCATTCTTAACACTAAACAAAAAACAACTTAGGGAAGGTGTAAAAAGGTATGAGTAATGTTCAATGTTCATAATTTTTTTTGTCTTTTCCTCACAATGTAAGACTATTATAAAGTCATGTAAAGGTCAATTACATGTCTTACTGGGATTTTAGTCACAATAAATCATGCAGATGATTCTATAATGTCAAGATCAAGATAAATCAATCTTAGTTATAGAATTGTCCTGTTTGGTAGACTTGTATTGATTTGCTTGTCTCCTAGGGAATGATGTGAACACATATTATACAGTGGAAACATTGCAAGATATGGCAGAGGTTAGCTGGGATGAACCTTGGGGTGTATGTTGTGAAAAGACCACATGCAACAAGACATTTTTTTAAACAAAAATTGGGAGAGAAACCATGAAGAAAAAAAACATGATGATTTGTGCTTGATTATAATTTGTGTTACCGGTATAACAACTTGCTTTGATATATAAATTGGCAATTTGTATTGAATTATGTTGCATCTTTTAACAGAAATTAGAGCCTACTTCTTGTGTACCTTCTACTTTAGCCATCACTTGTCCAGTTTCTAAGAAACTTTTCTTTAAAAGATATATTTGATGCAGAGAGTTATGTTTTGTGTAAGGACTTTGTTAAGCAAGTCTTCCTGTTCTTCTTGGTGTTTCACAGCGTGAGCAGTAGATAGAGCTGGCAAATGAATTAAAAAGAAATACATATAAGATATCCATCAAATATCACACGTATGAATTACAATTGTAGAAACATATCACATTCCAAATTGATCTAACAAAATTCTGTGAAAATGCTTGCCAGTTCCACCAATCACTATTCTATTAAACTTGTTCTTTCTCATTGCTTCTCCAACAATTGCTTATCCCTCCCTATTCATCTAAAATTCAGTGCAGTATTCTGGTTATCATCATAAAAAGCCTAATGACTAATGGCAGTTTTTTTATGGCAGTTTTTGTCCAAAGGAAGCACTCCATTATTTTCACAACTACCCCCCCCCCCCCATGAAAGAGGAGAGTTCTTAATTTTTTTAAAGTTGCCTAGGGTACTAATGGTGTACAGTTTTTAGGGAGCATTTCTGCTGCACGTGGCTAGAATATTGATGTTGAATTTTTGCTCTCCTCGGCGACGCAGATCAGATTGCGTTACTGGACCTGGAATCTTTCTTGCGAATATGACTGCGTAAGGTTTCGGATGAATTATTCGATGCGATAATTGATGAACCACGTACCCGCCTTATTTTCAACCTGGGGATAGATTTCATGCCCCGATAGTCGACTGATTGTCTTCCAGTCACTGCTAGTCACTGCTAGTAGAACGTACAGCTGCAGTAGATCAAGTTGAATTCAACGTGTTGAAAGAGAATCATAGTATGTGATAACATTGGTGCAGTCATTGGTTGTGCTTTAAGAATCTGTTCTCATGGGAGAGTACATTATTATATCTGAGATAAACAAAAGTAGTATGTGCAACAAGCTCACTCGTAATTGCTCCATCTGTCACTATGAAGGAAAACTGTAGGAATGTGGAGAAAAGTAATATAAATTTATCCATATGTCAGGGTATTTTTGTCTTGTATATTAGATATTCAAATCACTGTAATGTGACATAAGTGACATACGTGATATTACATTTGGCAATATGCCATGCCCTTGGCTATGAACATTGGATGAGAAAGCATTGCATATATACACATGCACATACACATCCCCCAACCAACATCCATATCTATGCAGTGGGACTAACATGTCGGCAATCATGCATCCATGAACATATGATTATTCCTAATTCCCTTGATAATGATGCTACGTGCATGGTTTGCTACCCCGGAGCCAGCAGTCCACAGCCAATGTCCTCCTCTCTCTCATGCATGCCGTCTGAACCTCCCGTTAATGAAACTCGCAAACCTCCGGGGGAAAGACCAGGTATCGCCATGGTTATCACTTTCGGTGGTATCGGTACGATAACAGGAGGGTCATGATTAGAATTCATTGATAGAGAAACGAGTGCAATGTGATTGCAATGACCATAAGCCCCTCAAGTGTCATGCCTCGTTGACACTTGCACGCATTTTGGTCCTGCACTGCCCCGCTCTATGGCGTGCCAATGCGTGTCAATTAGCGGCACGCAATCGTACACAGGGTCATGTCTAATTTACGAATAGTTTACGCAATGCGTAATCACTAGGACACGCATTCGTAGACTATGCGCATGGCATGCGAAAACTGCGCTGGAAGTATGCGCAAATTGTGAGCAAATTAGTCGTTAACTAGTCGTGAACATGCATGCCACTAGGCATCGGCGCGCACTGGCACAACTAGGCAGCGCATAGAGTGCGCATATAGTTCACAAAGTGTTCACGAACGTTGCCAAACAAAATTGTCGTGCCAAAATTTTGAACATTTTGAAAATTTTGTCACGCATTTCACGCATGGCCCGCATCCGTCCGCATCCTCCCGCATGCTACCACAAATACTTCCCGCATTGGCACGCAAGAGTATGTGTCTATGCGCAAATCAAAATGTGGGCATGTTTCAACGGGGCATATGTTAAGAGAAATGGTCTGTTCCAAGTCAGTAGGGTGTTAACTCTGTGTCGAAGTAATTTATATGAAATAACACCGAACAAATGAAATGCAGATTGCAAAGATGACTGAGGCTGACATAGTCAGGGGTCATATCCTTGACTTATAAACATATGGTATGTCAAAGCAGGTCACACTGTTCTATCCTGTTGCATTGGCAAGTTTGAATCTGATAATTGATTCTTAATGGATCTGTTGTTTCTTCTTAACTCAATGCCATATTTCTGTGCATTATGAAGAGTATTCTCTTATTCCCACAGGCCTGGTACAGGAATTACTTGCTTCCTGTTTGCAAAGGGTTGCCAACCCTTGTTGCTCCCTTTGTCTTTGTTAGATCATATGATCTTACATTTTCGTCTATTTTCACAATTTCATCAAAATGTCATTATCTCAATCACAAGTTTCCTATCAAAACTTTATCATCTTAAATCTTTTTTGCTGAAGGACAAACAATGCTTTCACAAGGTCACAATCTATTCAATTTTATCAACATTTATGATCTTAATTCTAAGGATCTTTTGTATATTATCTTGATCCCTCTCTGCTTTTCAGAGCATATTTTGATCTTTTGTTATCAAAATGTTTGATGCTTAATTCTATTTTGATTGTTTGTTTTGTTTGCAGACCATGATTTGGATGAGATTGATATGCAGACTGTACGCTATAAGCCAGAAGCACTAGACAAGCTCTGTAAAATGACCAAATTCTCCAAGAAGGAACTCCAGCTGATGTATAGAGGATTTAAACAGGTCAGAATAATGAACTATTCCTGTACCTGCCCCCTTCCTCCCCCTCTCCTACTCCCCTTCCCCTTCCCCCTTTCTCTCCCCGCTCCCCCTCCCTCTGCCCCTCTGCCTCTCTCTCCCTCCCTCTGCCCTTCTCTCTGCCCCTCTATCTCTCTCTGTTTCCCTTCTATCCCTTAAAAAATGTTAACCTTTACCATATACTGCTTATACCATAGCCATCCCCATCTACCAAATAATTGCATTGGTTTGAAGGAGAAAGGAGATGGTGCACATTGTGGTTTATTCATGGTGATTTCCGTGGCTTTTTTGTGATGAACTTTATTAGAATTATTTAGCTTAACTACAGGAAATATTAATGAATAAGAAATGCTGCTTACCAACGTAATTCGTAATCTATAACACTTTAATATCTACTTTAGATGTTATGATGAAGTATTACTTTTTGTCAATTGGTTTTTTTGGAATAGTGGTATATCTAATTAAAATTGGAGTTTGTGGAATCGGGTAATTCTGTGTGTTCTACTTTAGATTTGTAAAATTTAGTGTATCTATATCTACTTTAGATGTATACTGAATCAAGTATTTTGATATCTACTGTGGATTTTTTTCAGCTTCATGTACTATGTTATGATCATCATTACCAACTATCACCACTTGCTGCTGCTACTACTACATCCTTCTAACACTAGTAAAATGCAATCAATACTTCATTCATTAAAAGAATATTATTGTACTACAACAAATTATGTGACGTATGTATGTCTGAAAGAAAAGAAACAAACTCTAATACTCAAATACAAAAGGAAGCCATGCATGTTCATGTATGTAAAGCATCTTCTGCAAAAATGCTTTTTCGATGTGGTTTGCCGTTATTATGCTTTGCTGCCCTGGCGCCCTGTTTCTTCCTCTTTTTCTTCAAAAATTGAATTAGCAAGGCAAGAGCACGTGCCCCTGTATTTTTCCGCAGGCACTCAGTAATTGACTTGCATGGCACAGGTGGGAATAATGCATAGCAAGAAGCAGGAACTCATCTCTCTCTCTCTCTCTCTCTCTCTCTCTCTCTCATACCCCACTTCATCTGTTTTCTCTTGTACAATCTATCTATTTTGTTTTTCTTTCTCTTCCTACCTCTTTCTTCCATTCTCTCTCTCTTCCTTCCCCACCCTTATTTCTCAATATTCTACCATCTCTCTTTTTGTGTGTGTGTCTCTCTCTCTTTCCTTTCCCCTCTCAATTCTCTACACCTCTTTCACCATCTCTCTCTCTCTCTCTCTCTCCACCTCTCTCTCCCCCTCCCCCCTCTCTCTCTCTCTCTCTCTCTCTCTCTCTCACTCTCTCTATATATATATATATATATATATATATATATTTCTATCTCTCTCTCCCTCTATCTCTCTCTCTCCCTCTCTCACACACACACACTCTATCACTTTCTCTCCCTTTCTTTCTTCCAAGTTCTTGCACTTTCTGTATCTTTAATTTCTATAAACCTATATCTCAGTTTTCTCTGTTATTTTGTGTGTCTTTCTATCTATTTTCTCTGTCTCTCCCTCTTGGCTTTCTACTTCTTCATCTTGATTTCACTTTCTCATAATTATGTTCATGTCTACCATGTCTAATACTTTCTGTCTCTTTTTCAAGAAGTGTGATGTCAGAACATCTTCCCCTCCTGTTCTACGCCTTATTATAACCGTTGAATTTCACAGGACCCCTCTGCCTTCCCAATCATTATGCTAGAACACTTCTTCTGATTCATTACCTCTGTAACTTTTACACCCCTCCTCCTTGTTTCCAAATAGCATTCTACCAGACTTCCCCTTCCTTTCTTCAACATCATTACCACCATAGCATTCTATCCCCTCATCTGATCATCATCATCATCATGTAGCAGAACATTTCCTCTTCCTCTGCGTCACTACCATCACCATAATGCCAGAACATTGCTCCTCCATCATCCTTCATTTCCCCTTCTCTAGTCCATCCTGTTTCCGGTATACAGTAGTGAGGATGAAAATAACCCGTCGATTGTGACACCACTACATGAGGGTGTTGTCTCCTCCCACTAAACCAGCCACCTGCTTCCTTACCATTCACCATTACATTGCCACCATATTCAACATATATATTACAAAAATAGTGTGAGTTTTTTGTCAGAATACCTTTTTCATTGTTCATGTTTGTATTTTCAATGTTTGTATTTTCAATATGTGTATTTTGACTTGAATGTCATTTCCTTTCACTGCTGTGAAATCAATTTCTCTAGCTCACCCCCTAAAACTATCTCCTTTTCTCTCTCTCTCTTTCTGTCTCACTTCTTTCTGACTACTTTCTAAAATATATTATTTTTCAAACATTTGTTTAGTCTCTGATTTTCTCCTTCTTTCATTGTGGTCTGTCTGCTCTTAAATTGAGCGTAACTCCTTTTATCCTTCCAGTGATAGCTTCCTCATTTATTCTTAGCTCTGTCTTTCTCCACATTTTGCAGCCTTGTCACTCCATACTGCTTAATGGTCTGTGAATTGTCACCAAATAATGAAAAGCAAATTTGTCGATGGTGGAACTATGAAGTGTTGCATAGTGCCAATATGTATTTCATTCTAATATTTCCAATCTATCTATTGTCTGCCAATTTAATTTTTGTTTGTTTACAGCATTCTGATATTCAACCACTTATAATAATGATAATGATAATGATAATAGCCTAATAGTCCACTCCAAATTTTATTAAACCGAAACGGAAATTCTTTTTGCCCAATTGATCGTGAGCCCGAAAACAAAATGAATACAAAATTATATTGATTGACACTCAATAATTCAAGTGGGTTGCTTTTACTACATTGATCGTGAGCCCGAAAACAAAATGAATACAAAATTATATTGATTGACACTCAATAATTCAAGTGGGTTGCTTTTACTACATTAATGTGTCGTCTCCTCCCCCAAACTAGCCACATGTTTTCTTACCATTAATCATTACATTGCCACCATATTCAACAAACATATTACAAAAATAAACAGTGTGAGTTTTTTTGGCAGAATACCTTTTTCATTGTTCATGTTTGTATAAATACCCTTTGGCCTTGCCAATTTTACACCATCTTTATAGCAGTTATTATCATTTTCAATATTTGTATTTGGACTTGAATGTCATTTCCTTTAACTGCGGTGAAATCGATTTCTCTAGCTCACCCCGTAAAACTCTTGTCTTTCTGTCTCACTTCTTTCTGACAACTTTTCTCTCTAAAATATATTATTTTTCAAACATTTTTATGCCTCCGTTACGAAGTAGCCGGAGGCATTATGTTTTCGGGTTGTCCGTCCGTCCGTCCGTCTGTACGTACGTACGTCTGTACGTACGTACGTACGTCCCGTTCTCGTGATCGCGTTATCTGAAGAACTGATTGGTGGATTCCTGCCAAACTTTGGTCATGTATGTATCTTGCAGAGCCGATGAACTGATTAGATTTTGGGGTTACGAGGTTAAAGGTCAAAGGTCACAGGGCTCATTATGTATGCAAAAACAGCTCGTGATCGCGTTATCTGAAGAACCGATTGATGGATTCCTGCCAAACTTTGGTCATGTATGTATCTTGCAGAGTCAAAGAACTGATTAGATTTTGGGGTCATGAGGTTAAAGGTCAAAGGTCACAGGGCTCATTATGTATGCAAAAACAGCTCGTGATCGCGTTATCTCAAGAACCGAGTGATGGATTGCTGCCAAACTTAGGTCATGTATGTTACTTGCAGAACCGATGAAGTGATTAGATTTTGGGGTCACGAGGTCAAAGGTCAAAGGCCACAGCGCACATTATGTATGCAAAAACAGCTTGTGATTGTATTATCTCAAGAACCGATTGATCGATTGCTGCTAAACTTAGGTCATGTATGTTACTTGCAGAGCAGATGAACTAATTAGATTTTGGGGTCACGAGGTCAAAGGTCAAAGGCCACAACGCACATTATGTATGCAAAAACAGCTCGTGATCGCGTTCTCAAGAACCGATTGATGGATTCCTGCCAAAATTAGGTCATGTATGTTACTTGCAGAGCCAATGAACTGAGTAGATTCTTGGTTCATAAGGTCAAAGGTCAAAGGTCATGGGCTCATTATGTATGCCGAAATAGCTTGTGAACACATTCTCATTAGAACTGACAGATGGATTACTATTTAACTCAGGACATCTTGCAGAGCCAATGAACTGAGTAGATTTTATGGTCATGAGGTCAAAGATCAAAGGGTCATATATGTATATGAGAAATTGCTTGTAATCACGATATTCTGAAAACCTGTTAATGGATAACAATTGAACTTGAATTCGAAAAATGTGTTCTGTTTTGGTTTGTAAAATTGCTCTATGACGGAGGCATCATTTTCGACTGCGCGCAGTCGAATTCCATCTAGTTGTTCTTATTTTTGTCTCTGATTTCCTTTCTCTTTCATTTTGTCTGGCTTTGCTCTTTACTCACCAAATGTCTTCCTGTTTACATTGTGGTCTGTCTGCTCTTAAATTGAGCATATCCCTCTCCTTTTTACCTTCCAGTGATAGTTTCCTCATTTATTCTTAGCTCTGTCTTTCTCATTTCACATTTGCAGCCTTGTCACTCCATACTGCTTAATGGTCTGTGAATTGTCACCAAATAATGAAAATCAAATATGTTGATGGCAGAACTATGAAGTAATTGCTGTGATATGAAGTGTTGTATAGTGCCAATATGTATTTCATTCCGATATTTCCAATTAATTTATTGTCTGCCATTTGATCTTTTTTTTGCCCCAATCTGCTCTTCAACCACCATTAAAAAGAAGTGAATTGAAATAAATTTGATTGACATTCATTAATTCAAGTAGTTTTTTTTACCAGCTAAACCTTTGCATGTGGTAGAGAATAGTCACAGCTTCAGTGTAATTTCCTTCTTAAAGAAATACATTAAGTAGAATTGTTGATTACGTAGTAACATTTATAATATATTTTGTTGTAATTATTTATCACTGTTTCCTTTTT